GCTACTGATGTTATATTTATGAAGTGGTCTCCTGTGTCCATCCATTCTAGGCTACTTTCTCTTCTATCAGGTTCAGTGTAACTGGATTTATGTTGAGGTCTTTGATCCACTTGGACTTGAGTTTTGTACATTGTGATAGATATGGATCTATTTGCAATCATCTACATTTTGACATCTAGTTAAGCCAACATTATTTCTTGAAGTTGCTTTTTTTTTCCCATTGTACTATTTTGGCTTCTTTGTCAAAAATCAGGTGTTCATTGGTGTGCAGATTAATATCAGGGTTATTAATTCTATTCCATTGGTCCACATGTCTGATTTTGTACCAATACCAAGCTGTTTTTATTATTATAGCTCTATAGTAGAACTTGAGGTCAGGAATGGTGATGCCTCCAGAAGTTGCTCTATTTTAAGATTGCTTTAGCTAACTTGGGTTTTTTGTTTTCCATATGAAGCTGTGTAAGCTGTGTATTGTTCTTTTGAGTTCTGTGAAGCATTGTGTTGAGATTTTGATAGGGATTGCATTGAATCTGTAGATTGCTTTTGGTAAGATTGCCATTTGTATTATATTGGTTCTACCTCTCCATGAGCATGGAAGATCTTTCCATTTTTAATACCGTCTTCAATTTCTTTCTTCAAAAAATTCTAGTTCTTTCCATATAGGTCTTTCAGTTGTTTAGTTAGTGTTACCCCAAGGTATTTTGTATTATATTTTCTGTTTCTTTGTTTTTGTAGTGATGAGATTCTTAACAAGAATATAACTAAGCAGTTTATTCTATGTAGCTGCATGCATAATGACTTAAAGTCCTCATCGGGGTGTTTGTAGTTTCATTATGGATGAATGTGTATGTTAAGTGCAGTGCATGTTTGTTAATACATAAATTTTTCTGTATGGCAAATGATACTATTAAACAAAATAAATGTTATTCAAATGTGAGTATGAGAGAAGAACTAAGAAAATAAATACTAAGAATATTGGCAGGTAGTTTTACAATGAATATTATATAAAAGCATTCATTTTTCACAAAACACCTTATATGTATTTTACATGCATAACAATGTAAGTATGAATAAATATAAGATCATCAATATGCATTGTGTCTATGCCAGCATCAATCATCTTCTTACTCTTCCTTGATATCACTGATACAGTGGCCCAAATATGATGCTATACAGGGACAATTGTAAATCACAAACACACATGAACACACACACACAGATACCATGGGCAATTGCTGATTCTCTCAATATTCATTTTTTAAATAATCACAAAACTGAAAAACAAAACAGAATGTCCAAAAGGAATAGTTTTCATTAGTTTCATTTTATTTTTCTCTTTTCATTCATATATTCTTATGCTTAACTTTTAGTGGAAGGGCAAATAGTTTTCTACAATTAGAATGTATCATGGGGAAGGAACTTATCCCCAGAGTAGAGATCATTTCCTGCTTAAACAGCACTGTGTGTTTGACAGTACAATAAATGCTTGAATATGTTCTGCCTTTTAAACACAATGGAAGTATTTAAGCCTTAAAATCCAGGTTTACTTATTTTCTTTTACCAATCAATAAAGGTAAGATTTATATATAACTTAACATTACAAATATGAGCTCAAACTGCATTTGACTCATATCAAATATACATAGAATTTGTCTCCCCTTTTTAAATACTACTATTAAAGGGATTTGAGCAAAGTAGTTGAAAACAATTTTGTATCTAATGTTTTTCATTTTAAATATAATTTCAATATTTTTAACTTTTCTGCCATTTTACCACATAGATCTAAGAAGAATAAAATGTAAAATATGCTTCTGTATAAAAAGCCAATATATTAAAGAGCAAAAATATCAATATGGCCGGGCGGTGGTGGAACACGCCTTTAATCTCAGCACTCGGGAGGCAGAGCCAGGAGGATCCCTGTGAGTTCGAGGCCAGCCTGATCTCCAAAGCGAGTTCCAGGAAAGGCACAAAGCTACACAGAGAAACCCTGTCTCGAAAAACCAAAAACAAAACAAAACAAAAATATCAATATGGACACCATCTTATGTGCTAATTTCTATTAATATTTTAGCTTGTTTTATGTTTAAAGGTATTATTTATATTCTATAAAGCTTTCATTTCAGTTATTCATATATACATTTGCTTTACATGAATTAGTTGGAGCTCATAGCTCATAAAATAAATCTACATTTAAGATGATCAAGAATGAGGATCATTAAAACATATTTGCCCCCTACTATAGTCAAAGATTTACCTAGTAGTTAATGATTAAATTCTGTAAGTGAATATGAAAATATTACAGAATTATTATATTTACATGTGTCTTTAGGCAATTTGCCAAAAGAAAAACCTTTCTGAATTCATGTCACCATACATGCCTTTCCAACTTTTATGTCTTTTTTTTTTTTCATAAATGTGGTTAGAGAAGTAGAAGCCTGGTGTACTCTTTTTTGTTAAATGTAGTAGTTAAGATCAGAGTAACTGTAGGAGAAGCAATTATTCTGTCAAAGATGACAGAAAATATGCATGAAGTAATTGAATAAAGCAAAAGTGCCCATATTTCCAAAAATGCTAGGGGTTTCATTTCTCAGAGTATTAATTTTTTTTTAAAGTTTTCAACAGTCGAAATAATAACAACAACTGCAAAGATTTTAGAGGCCAAGTCTTTCAGGCACTGGTGCTCAGGAAATAATAGGGTAACAGAATGCTTGCCTAGCATGTGTGAGCCCAGAGTGGCATCTGTAGCATCACAGAAAAACTAGATAAGTATGATATACATAGGCTACTATAGCCCCAACACCTTTTTTACATGTAGATTTAAATCACTAATTCCCAGAAAATGAATAAAACTGTAGATAGTTTACAAATAAAAATTTGAGATATGCCCTCCCCAATCCAGAAAACAACAAAAATTAATAAGATTTCCTGCAGCTATGGAAGAAGTAAAACACTTGCTAATGCTTTATAGTATTTTGAAACTACAATTAGACATTTATTTACAAATTGATTACATCAGGGCTTTTACATTAGTACATTTTCAATTTGATTAGGTAACAATTTTTGAGAGAAGTATTTATGCAACCAAATACAGCGTGCATAATGCTTATGAATCTACCATGAAATAATTGAAATGAAGTTTTTTCATTTCTTTTTCAGTTGTTGTCTCTATAATGACTCTTAGATTTAATTAATTAATTAAATAATTTGTTTTTAAAAATAACCTCTTGTTGTAGCTTTTTTCCTTAAAATCATAGTTTAGTAATGTTAGGTTTTATCTGGCAGTTCCTATTCATTGTATATATTCATATAAAGCACATTCACAATATAATACTAAATATCATTGAGAAGTCTATATTTTGCTGAAAGTTTTTATAGTTTTATTTTAAGTAGTGTTTGTTTTGTAGTATTTTAATATTCAATATTGAGAAGTGAAAATGGAAAAGAAATTCTTTTTAACATTTGATCATCATAAAATGCTTCTGTAGTACATGGTTGCCAAGTATCTTTACTCATTCCCATTTAGCATCAATATTTTGAATGTGAACTCTTGAATATCAGCCATGAACATCTCTTAAATCATAGTTTGAGGTCAACCTACTTTTTGCTGCCAGTTTGTCCAATGTCTTTAGATAAATCTAAATGTGTCAATTGGTCACTAAATATCAAGAGAATAACATAATGAACAATTTCTGTGAGAGTATAAAACTATAATTCCTACACGTGTACTCAGTTATTGCAGAGCCAAAGAAATTATGTAGAAAATTATAACTGCTATCAAATAAAGACAAAAACATTAATGGGAGTAGAGTGTAAAAAGGGAAATGAGAAGACAAGGGAAATATTGGGCACAGTAATATATTAATTTCAAATAATGTGGCAAGTGTATTGATAGCTTTTTAGAAAAAAAGTTAAAGTTTATTCATTTTCAAAGAATTTATAGTTTTTGAAAAATAAAATTAAATTTAATAATTGCATTTCTAGAGATACAGAATAATAAATATGAAAGTGAGCATGCCAATGTGATCACATCTGTTCCTACAAAAATGTATGCAGTGAAGTAGACTGAGTAGAACAGAGATGAACAGCAAGATCAGCATCATTGTGAGGATGGAAATATCTAGGAAATGTTCAGGATGAGCTGTTGTAATGCTCCTTTCCTGAAGTAGAAGTGTAGACACAATAAAAGAATGTAGAGTCTACTTAGCAAACCTACTTCTGGACCATCGATACTGAAGAAACTACTCCAAATGCCCAAATTCCCTCTAGAAAAAGATGATTTGGCAGTGTTTACTCCATCTTGAGTTTCTATAAGAATGTAATGTGAACATGAAAATGTGATTAAAATTCATGACTTCCAATTTCAAAAAGTTTACCCTGAACTGAAAACCCAGAATAGTAATGAATGACATCCCACCTTATAAGGCTTTCTGCAATTAACTAATTTCATATTAAAATTATCCATAAGCAGAACTATTCAATGAAATCAAAATCACTTCTGCATATTAAAGTATTCTACCTGAAGAGTACTTTGAATGTTTTTAAGAATATTTAGTCATATATTAACACTAATCTTGAATTAATGGCCATAGAACAATAACTTAAGTAGAAATATGTAATCTGAGGAACAGATTAATTGTTCAAAGAAATATAAACAGAGGTTGCATTTTTTTGTTTTTTTGTTTTTTTGAGACAGGGTTTCTCTGTGTAGCTTTGGGCCTTTCCTGGAACTCACTTGGTAGCCCAGGCTGGCCTCGAACTCACAGAGATCCGCCTGCCTCTGCCTCCCAAGTGCTGGGATTAAAGGCGAGCGCCACCACCGCCCGGCTTCAGAGGTTGCATTTTTAGCTTAAGAGAAGAAAATTAAGATGTCAAGGCATACCACCAAAAACCAAGAAAATAATACAACACAGTGTATTGGAAAAAAAAAATATATGCTTTTAAGCAAAAAGAGATCTTCTTTAAACTTTTGTAGCATATATAAATCATAGTTTATCTTCATGGGCACTGGAAAATTTGAAAGTGTGTTACTACTACTTTAGAATGGATAACAAGAATCCAAGGACAAGGAAATATTTTGTATTTTTGCTTGAATCACTCCTACAGATGAAATACACAGAAATCAGAGAAGTGGACAATGCTTCTACTGTGACACATTTTCTCCTCTTGGGATTTTCTGACCTTCCCAACCTCCAAGGGTTTCTGTTTGGAATGTTCTCTATAATGTACCTGATTATTTTGATTGGAAATAGCTTCATAATTGTGATAACTAAAATTGATCCAGCATTACAGAAGCCCATGTACTTTTTCTTGGCAAACTTTTCTTCTCTGGAAATCTGTTATGTATCAGTAACTCTCCCAAGGATTCTGTTCAACATTGCTACTCAAGAGAGAAGCATTTCTGTGCTGAGCTGTGCCACACAAATGTGTTTCTTCCTCATGCTGGGAGCCACTGAATGCTTTCTTCTGGCTGTGATGTCCTATGACCGCTATGTGGCTATCTGCAACCCTCTGCACTATCCCTTGGTCATGAACCCAACAAAATGTACTCAGCTGGCAGTGGGCTCCTGGCTTGGTGGCATCCCAGTTCAGATAGGACAAACATGTCAGATATTCTCTCTACATTTTTGCAATTCTAACCAAATCAACCACTTCTTTTGTGACTTACCTCCCATTCTCAAACTGGCCTGTGGGGACACTTCTGTTAATGAGCTGTCTGTCTACTTAGTGGCTATGCTGTTTGTTGCTTTTCCTTTTATGTTGATCCTTGCTTCTTATACCAAAATCATTGCCACCATTCTGAAGTTGCCAACAGCCACAGGACGGGCAAAAGCCTTCTCCACATGTTCTTCCCATTTGCTTGTGGTATTTTTGTTTTTTGGATCAGCTACTGTTACCTACTTGAGACCAAAGTCCACACATTCTCCAGGAACCGACAAACTGCTCTCTCTATTCTACACAATTGTGACCCCTATGTTCAACCCCCTGATATACAGCCTTAGGAACAAGGATGTGATTGCTGCACTGCGAAAACTGTTACTTATAAAATAATACTAGAGCTCTGCAACAAATGATTGATTTGTTTCTTACTCAATTACTGAAGAAATATGTCAATTTTTCTTCATTCCTTCAAAATACTAATGACTTAATTGTTCTGAAATGCCTTTGTTATTTTAAATAATAGCTTGATACATATTCTGTTTTGAAATATCCTGTACATATTTTCTGTCCTCATTCAATGAAATATAAAAAGAACAAGATATTTTAATATGAATAACATACAATGTGGATTACATATTCTCTGATAAAATTTTGAACATAATTCATAGTTTTTTAATGTGTTATAAATTAACAGATAGATTATTTACCTAATTTAATAAATCATTATCCTGATATTTACTAGTACTTTTTCTTTCATCATTCAACAGAATTACCAGTAGTACTTCAATATCAATGCATGTTGAATAAATTGCTAAATGAGTTAATGAAATAGTTAATATTAATATGCTATGTCTTAGAATTTTGATATGTCACATCTTAAATGAAAATGAAAGAAATATTTCAATATATTATTAATATGTGTAAAGTTTAGTAATAACTATAATAAAAGTTGGGTTTTTTTGTTCCCAAGTGCTCTTAGTCAGTGCACAAGTGTTTTGATGATATATTGAGTATATTCAACTTGTATCAGTTCTATCCAACTTTCCAACATTTAAACAGATGTGGTTTTCAACAAAGCTCAAACTACAGAATCATGAAATCTAGTACATAAAAAATAAAACAATGTAGTAATGTACACTTGATAAGATGGTTTAGAGGGTAAGAAATTATTTTCCGTTCATTCCTAAATGTGATGTCTCTATCAATTCCCTCCCATCAAGACTCCGGGAATTTTTTTTAAATTTTATTTTATAATTTAATTTAATTTTACATATGAGCCACAGATTCCCTTGTCCTCCCCACTCCTGCCCTCCCCCAGGTCCCCCCAACCCATCCCCCATTCCCATCTCCTCCAGGGCAAAGACTCCCCTGGGGATTGAGTTCAACCTGGTAGATTCAGTTCAGGCAGGGCCAGTCCCCTCCTCCCAGGCTGAGGAAAGTATCTCTGCATAAGGCCCAGGTTCCAAACAGCCAGCTCATGCACTGAGGACAGGTCCCAGTCCCACTGTCTGGGTGCCTCCCAAACAGTTCAAGCTAATCAACTGTCTCACATATCCAGAGGGCCTGATCCAGCTGGGGGCTCCTCAGCTATTGGTTCATAGTTCATTCGTTTCCATTCATTTGGCTATTTGTCCCTGTGCCTTTTCCATTCTTGGTCTCAACAATTCTCGCTCATGCAAACCCTCCCCTTTCTTGCCAATTGGACTCCTGGTGCTCCACCTGGGGCCTGGCTGTGGATCTCTGCATCCAGTTCCTTCAGACATTGGATGAGATTTCTAGCATGACAATTAGGGTGTTTGGCCATCCTATCACTGGAGTAGGTCAGTCCGGGCTTTCTCTCACCCATTGCCAGTAGTCTACTGTGTAGTTATCTTTGTGGATTTCTGGTGACCTCTCCAGCACTTTACTTCTTCCTATTCTCATTTGGTCTTTATTTATCATGGTCTCTTATTTCTTGTTCTCCCTCTCTGCTCTTGATCCACCTGGGATCTCCTGCTCCCCTAAGTCTCTTTCCCCGACCCTTACCCTTCATTACCCCCACTCAAGTCCATGTTGTTCATGTAGATCTCATCCATTTCTCTGTCATTGGGCAATCCCTGTGTCTTTCTTAAGGTCCTGTTTTCTACATAGCCTCCCTGGAGTTGTGAGTAGCAGTCTACTCATCTTTGTTTTATGTCTAGTATCCTCCTATGAGTACATACCATGTTTGTCTTTCTGAGTCTGGGTTACCTCACTCAGGATGATTTTTTCTAAATCCATCCATTTGCCTGCAAACCTCATGATGTCATTGTTTTTCTCTGCTGAGTAGTATTCCATTGTGTATATGTACCATATTTTATTTATCCATTCTTCAGTTGAAGGGCATCTAGGTTGTTTCCAGGTTCTGGCTATTACAAACAATGCTGATATGAACTGAGTAAGTGCCCTTGTGGTATTATTGAGCATTTCTTAGGAATATGCCCAAGAGTGGTATAGCTGGGTCTTGGGGGAGATTGATTCCCAATTTTCTAAGAAAGTGCCATATTGATTTCCAAAGTGGTTGTACAAGCTTGCATTCCCACCAGCAGTGGAGGAGTATTCTCCTAGCTCTACATCCTCTCCAGCATAAACTATCTTCAGTGTTTTTGATCTTTGCCATTCTAACAGGTGTAAGGTGGTATCTTAGAGTCGTTTTGGTTTGCATTTCCCTGATGATTAAGGATGTTGAGCAATTCCTTAAATGTCTTTCAGCCATTTGAGCTTCCTCTGTTGAGAATTCTCTCTTTAGTTCTATAGCCCATTTCTCAATTGGACTGTTGCACGTTTTGATGTTGAATTTCTTGAGTTCTTTATATATTCTGGATATCAGCCCTCTGTCAGATGTGGGGTTGGTGAAGACCTTTTCCCATTCTGTAGGCTCTCCTTTTCCTTGTTGACCATATCCTTTGCTCTACAAAAGCTTCTCAGTTTTAAGAGGTCCCATTGATTGTTTCTCTTAGTGTCTGTGCTACTGGTGTTATATTTAGGAAGTGATCTCCTATGCCAGTGCATTCAAGACTACTTCCTACTTTCTCTTCTCTCAGGTTCAGAGTAACTGGATTTATGTTGAGGTCTTTGAAGAGAATGTATAAACAGTGTAAGATCAGTGGGGATAGAGAAAACCATGGAAACTAGGCATGAAGATACAGCAGGAGTAATGCACAGAAATTCATAGAAACTGTGGCAGCATTCACAGGGCCTTCACAGGTTAAGCAATATGTGGTCCCATTGCTAAGTGAAGAAGTAGACACAACACTTATCCATAAGTTATAACCACTCCCAAAGAAAGGATTAGTTTTCACCAATGGAATCTCATGGGTTATACAAACCAAACTTAAGGGCAAGCAGTAGATGGCCAACACAAAATGAACTCAATGATATTTGTGGGTTTTATCTTTTTATAACTTTACAGATCTTTTGTTTATAAGTTATGGTTTCTGATTTTCTTTTAATCGGTTTTCACCATGTGTGAATATGTATGTCTGTGTCTATGTGTTTCTTGTGATTTTTCTTCAACTCTTTTTTTTTTGTTTGTTTGTTTTTGGATTGTTTACTTATTTGTTTTGTCCTATTCAGTTTGTTGGTTGCATCATATTTTATATTATTGTTGTATTATTAGATGCCTCTTTGTTTTCTAATGAGGGGAAGAAGGGGTGTGGATTTGTGTGGGTAGGGAAGTAGGAGAATCTTTAAGGAGTTTGTGGGATGTGAGTTGTAGATGTAACCAACTGTCTTTTTACATAAGAAATACAGAACCAATGTAAAAGAGAAAGCCAAGAGGTCAGAACTCAGAGCTAAAATCTCACCCTTCCTCCTGTGGTGGTCCTAGCTTCCTGAAAGAGCTATTTCCTGTCTGTCCGTCTTTTCATAGTCTTTTATTCTGCCTTCTCATTGGTTGTAAACCCAAACACGTGACTGCCTTGTCACTGTCTGTATGTACAGCCCCCCAGGTCTTAAAGGCATATGTCTCCAATGCTGGCTGTATCCCTGAACACACAGAGATCTATGGGATTAAAGGCATGCGCCGCCACCGCCGCCACCGCCGCCGCCGCCGCCACCACCACCACCACCACCACCACACTCTGTCTATGGCTCTAATAGCTCTGACCCCCGGGCAACTTTATTTATCAACATACAATTAAAATCACATTTCAATACAATTAGAATACCACCACAGTGAGTCATAATAAACATATACTATATGAAAAAATATTATTTCAATGAAAAATCACATTGTGAGTACTATAAGAAAAGAGATCATCCTCTGCAATCATAAAAACTTAATTTCAATACCCATCATCTAGGTAAAAATATGGGAGAGCAATACATGTATCTTAGCTTCAGTCCTTTGGGGAACAAATATAGAGCATGGCTTGACCTCGTTTGTGGTTACTCTAGTTCCAATTAAATGAAAGAATAAAATAGTGTGGAGAGCTATAGAGAAGGACAACTCAATGAGAAGACAAACAAGCACTATCATATGCAAAATTCAACTCCATACATGTGCATGCAAATCACTGTTTTATGTAGTGGGTAGCCATTCCAGCTTGGATCTGGAAGTTCCAACCCCCATTGAGACTCTGGCAACTGTCACGCCTACGAGGCATGGCCAGGGAAGGCGCCTGGAGACCTGGAGAGCTGGATGGGCCAGTGCTCTCTCTGTGTGCTCTCTCTGACGCTGAAGGTTGGAGGTGGACTGAGCAGAGCTCCAGAGAACACCGCTGGACTGCGATACACCTTTCTTAGACCCTGCGACCTACCTTTCACTTAATTTGTGATTTACGCCATTAAATAAATATCCTTTTAACTACGTGGAGTGGCCAAAATGATTTCTCCAATATCTGGTGCCCAACGAGGGGCACGAACCCACAACCCTGAGATTAAGAGTCTCATGCTCTACCGACTGCCAATAGTTTTAGGTTATGATTTTCTGTTGTGCCATTTTTATATATTCCCATAGGCCGCAGGTGGGAATTTCTTGAATCAACTTACTAATAATATAAGCACAACAGAATTTGAGTACTAAACATCTGATTTTATCTGTAGTATATTGCCTTATGGAACATCAGTGAACAATTTATGACATTTTGAAACAGATCAAATGATGAACATTGAATTTATTGAGACTGCCTCCCTGCAATATTTTAGAAGCATATTCTTTTTCATGGAATATGTGAGGAAAACTGTTACTTGTCAAAATGAATATATGTGATTGTCTATAAATAGTAACCCAAGCATCCTAATTAATTATCCTAATATTTAAACTAGGAAATAAAAAAGTGCATGACACAAGTAAGGAGGAGAACTGAGGCATCAGGATTTAAGGTATCATTTTTGATTAGACAAATGGATTAAGCAATAACTTAAGAGGA